TTTATTTATTATGTATACAATATTCTGTCTGTGTGTATGCCTGAAGGCCAGAAGAGGGCACCAGACCTCATTACAGATGGTTGTAAGCCACCATGTGGTTGCTGGGAATTGAACTCAGGACCTTTGGAAGAGCAGGCAATGCTCTTAACCTCTGAGCCATCTCTCCAGCCCCTAAACAGTGTGTTTTGTTCCATGAACAGCATCTTGGAAGAACTGTGAGTCAGGAAAAGCTAAGCCAGGATGGTGTGTGATTTTGAGACATTTGAAAACTTTAGCATACCTCCTCTGACAAAACCATACATATATGAACACACACTAACAAATTTTATGAAAACTGAGTTTAAAAATATTCACAAAGCCTGCATACACAAAGCCTATGCCTTTGTGCATTATTTATGAACTATAATAAGATTTAAATGAACATTGATGATATTTTAAATAAGTTTTAATCATCTAACTCATCTTGATTCTTGTCCATATTGGAAAATTTAAAGGACTGTTTTAAGACAACCAATTTAGGTTTGTAATCATGATATTAACTCTTTTAAAAAATGGAAGTTCATTTTAACAATTATCATTGTTCATATAACTTACCGTAGTTTACAAATGAACTTTGGATTTCAATCACTGACAATTGATCATTCAGATTCCTCTTTCCACTTTTGGGTTTTTGTTTTTGTTTTTTTTTTTTTTTTTTTTACTTTAAAGGAAAGTAGATGAAAATAGTATCAGCATAAAAAAAACAATAAGAAAAAATGTAGAATATTTTTTCCCATCAGTAGTAAAAAGTTGAAACCTCACCAGATATAGTTTTAGGGAAAAATCTGATAATATTATTCTTACTATAAAACATCTTATAATGAATGTGTTCTGGAAAGATAATCAATAAGATATTTATGATTAAACAATAACACAACTTGTGTGCAAACATAGTAGGTTGAATATTGGAATGTACAGAACTAATTTTCTGTTAGAAGATTTACAGATTGAAAATCAACACTGTGTCAGGATTTGTATTTAAAGACTCATGGCAGATTATAGAACTTACTCTTTAAGGTTTCAATACAACACTATTTAATATTATAAGAATAATCAAAATCAAACTAAAATGCAGTATCTACTCAGAAAACATCACATGGCCTGCACTTGTAAAATTCTGGACATACCTTCTTAAAGCATTATAATGAGAAATGGAAAGCTGGAATAGGACTTAAGAAAGCTGAGGGTTTTCGCAAAGATCTTTTGGCTTTTGGAAGCAGAGCTGAATTGATTTATAATCTTTTATGGCATAAAAAATTGATTATAGTATGCCAAGTGAGTGCTATATTCTGCCACTGATTCTCAAGTAATTGATGGTATTTCATTTGTAATATGAAGAAATCAAATAAACGTTCTGTTCAAGGAGTATTTGCTCTGAAAAGTCAATCTTTCGTTTTTCTACCTGTGTGTTTTGAATCTTAAAATATAAAATACTGGTATATCATCAACCTGACTATGTATTTTCTGGAATTACTCTTTATATTGTCAAATATACAAGTGGGTGGGAAATTAAAATTATTTAAGTCTAATATTGAATTCTGAGACACGCATACAATTTGTTGCACATTTAATGCTCTATGCATTTAACCTGTAGTCTCAGCTTGCACATCATACACCTTCTCTTTTATCTTCCTTATATATCACACCATATAAATACTTCACATGTACATCAAATCTCTTTTTCATATACAAATTATTAATAAATGCATAACTATGTGGAACACACAAATTCTAATAGAAACATTGAATGTATGCACTTAAATAATTTATGCCAAGCATGATGACATTTCTTCCATACTAGTTTTTCTAGAGATGTGAGTTATACACTGAAAGAGTACAAAATAAAGTTTCCATTTATCCCATTTGTGACTCACTTTAGCTTCCAATGTCGAAAGATAAGAGGTTGATTTTGTTGTTTCAATGTAAGAAGTCAATTTTGACATCAATACATCCAAAGGGCTATATAAATAGATTCCATAGAGAAACATGGAGTTGTAGAGAGGGGCAGAAAAATAAAATCATAGAAAAAAATGGACTTTCACATACATTATGTGAACAAAAACAAATCCTTCAGGAAACTATTATTTATTAATGGGTGAATTTTAAAATTTTCCTCATGCACAATTCAAAACAATATATTTTAAAATGTGACATTGTACTATTCTATTAATTTGTCTTTCTTATATTGCATTTACTATTTTAAATTGTTATGTGTATTTGTATTTGACTATTCATTTGAGTTCCAAATGCTTCAAAAATTCAACAAAATTTTTGAAATAGTATCCTCTGTTTTATACAAGAATAAAGTCATAGCTTCAAAAACTTGCCTGTTGTATCCATTTGATTTGGAACTAAAAATGTAATTGAAAGACCAGTAACAAGACATTATTACTATTAATTACTTCTGCAAAAAAAGAAAAATAACAACAACAACAACAAAACCGTCCTAAAGAGGATATTTTTCTCTGTAAATGTGCAGCAGTTTTGTATCATTGAAATGTTTTTAACATAGTTTCCACATCTAACGAGTAAAATTCTGAAGAGCGGGAAGCCTCTACTGACTTTTTAAAGAATTTAAAAGCATAATTGAAGCTTATTGGAAGCAATATGTCAAAAAAATAAGTTGAGAGAGGACTGCATTAGGAAAAGATGAAGCTAACTAGGCTCGAGAAAACCATGATTAAGGTTAATCTCGTACACTCATCCAGGCTGAGCATTGAAATACTAATGGAAATTCAATTTGATATTTCTTAAAGTGATCCTAAATACATATTTTAAAAATGTTTTCATGATAAAACACACAAGCTTTTCACCATTGCTGCCTGGCAGGATAATATTTCCAGACACACTAAAAGCCATTTACAAAAAAGCCATGCTTTCTGCATAGATGTCAGAATGTGACCCAAAGCCTTACTCCAATGACAACAAAATGGGAAGAAAACTTTGCCTAAAATAGTAATCCAGAAAACAATAGAAGCATGCTAAAACACTGTGATTCAAACTCTACTCTGAATTTAAATATCCACATGTTGCTATTACTATAGCTATATCCTATTTTATATCTTTGTCGGAGTTAGTTTTGCATC